TTTACAGAAAAATTGCGGGAACAGCACAAAGAGCTCTCAGGCCCCCCCCCATGCCCCCACTTTGCCAAACCCATTGAAGTTTTGTAGTTGTCCCAGTAATGTTCTCCATAGCAAGAGGCTTCAACCCAGAGTGATACACTCCTTCAATCCATATTCTTTCTCAGTCTTTGCTTGATCTTTATGACCTTAACCTTTTTCTTAAGATTAAAGGACACTTGTCTTATAGAATGTCCCTCAGTTTATGTTTGGTGTTTCCTCATGACCAGACTCAAGTTACACATTTTTGGAGGAAACACCAAAGAAGTGCAGCTGTGCTCTTTTCACTGTATCCCATGAGGTGGCGACCTGTCCCATCACCAGAAATGGTCACTTTGATCATTCAGGGAAGGTGGTGTCTGCCAGGCTCCTTCACTGAATAATTCACTGCTTTTCTCTTTGTATTTAATAAGTACTTTATGGGGAGATATTTTGAGACTGTAAATATCCTATTTCTCATCAAAATTTTGCCCATTAGTTTTAGTATCCATAGATGTGTTTCCTGCCTGGATCAATCCTCATGATGGCTGTCAAGTGGTGATTTTCACGTGACATAATTTCTTCTGCCTTTATTGGCATTCACCTGTATTCTGCCATTCTCTTTGCCCCATTTGTGATATGCATGTGATGGACTCAGATTTCTGTTTTATTCAGTAGTATGTACTCCATTACTGTCGTTATTTTGATGCTCAGGTTGTCCCATTATTTTCATTCTTAAAGCTAGCTTCTGTGTTTGGCGTGTCCTTATCACTCTTTTGAGTACTTCCTTCCTTTCTGGCACAATGACGCACTTCAGGCTCTCGTACTTTCTGTGCCGCGGCTCTGGCGTTTGCCATTTCTCCAAGGAGCTCTGGTTCCCTTTCGTGAAGATTGTGTTTAGAAACCAAAACTTTGGGCTGCCTATGCTCATTGCTGCTGGAGTCTCACTGCTCCCAAGCATTTCAACAGACACCGGCAATAAGTGCACAGACACAAACAATGCATCTGTATTCTGATATCTACATGTAGATATTGAACACTTGAGTTCACACTGGTACCTTTCATTCTAGTTCATTCTAGCTTCTCCCATTCATTATTTCTAACTCCTTTCTTGCACAGTGACTTATCTCCCATTATGCTCAGTGTTTACTTTCTGTCACCTCCCCTGTGTGTAACCAGTCTTCTTAGGCACCCAGCTGTCTAAGTGTGTTTCTGGTGCTAGTGCTGGGACGGAAGACTACAGAAAGAGCAGACTAGTGGAGGGCAGGGCAGCCCACGTGCTGGACTGTTTGTGGCTTCCCCCAAGAACTGTGCTCTGTTGTGTCTGTCTTGGCACAGGCCGCTTCCCTGATTCATACGTGCAGCAGCTAATGAGCAGCTGTCCAAGGCCAGGCACTTGGTTTGGAATTCCTTCCACCTCCTTTATCTTGCTGGTTCCTCAGTATACAAAACCATACAAGACCTCACTGCTGGGAAGCCTTTCCATGACCCTCTTTTCCCTCCAGTTTGGGCCAGAGGCTTCTCTCTACTTCCTTAGCCACTTGTAAGTAGCTACCATAAAAGTGAAAACCTGAACTGAGATTGTATCACCCATTATATGATGCAGTGAATGAGCATCTGACAGGCTCTAAAATCAG